TGATGTATTGTACTGCTTAATTTGAGTACTTCTTCCACCGCTGCTTCTCAGAGGCTAAAGTTTTATTTCACTACAATATTTTTACAGCACTTCTACAGCAAAACTTACTGTATTTATTTTGTTGTTTTTAACCTTTTGTGACCTGAATTTAATCTGTGATGTTTTAGTCAACAGTATCCATTTCCAGGCGCATTAGTTTCACGCAGTTCAGATTGTGTAGTCTTGAATCCATACCAAACTTTGACGCCTAGTTGGAAACAATCACACGTGAGACAAATATAACTGAGGAGTAACATTTTCCTGCTGACTCAGGGACACATTTTCACCTCGGCTGTCCTCATCTGTCGCTAAACAAACAGGAACTATCCGACAGGGAGAGTTAAAGCACAGGAGATGCTCGTCTGCCGCTGCCTCGGTCGGTTAGCTTGTTTGTGTTATTGTGTGACTTTGTTGTAAAAACACAAAAGTCACACGTAAACACAAACTAACCGATGAAGGCAGCGGTAGACCAGAGAGGTAAAATTACTGTTTTTATCAAAGGAGTCTGGTGGCTTTAACCAGCAGCGACTTAGCGACTGTTTCTGGTTAAACAAAAAGGATCTTTAAAGAAAGGTCTGTCTCTGCAGGGATCCTCTCCATAATGTTGTCAGACACTTATAACAACAATCTGAGCCTGTCAGCGTTTCATTTCCTTTTGATACTTTAGGTACATTTTCCTGATAATACTTAAGTAACATTTTCAATGCAGGACTTTACTTGTAATGGAGTATTTTTACAGTGGTATTAGTACTTTTACTTAAGTAAAGGATCTAAATCCTTCCTCTGGTTAAATCACATTGACTCTGTGGCCATGTTACACTTGGTCTGATTAGCAGTGATTAAAAGTAACAAAGTATATTTACTCTGTACTTGTACTCAAAGTAAGTACAATTTTGAGGTACTTTATACTTCTAGGGATATACTGAACTTTGTACTTCATTACATTTATTTTAAGAGCTTTAGTTAGTTTATAGATTTGGATTATTATTAATTGGATTAATTAATTAAAAGCATAACAAAAAATAATAATTATGACGCATTTTCATAGATTAAGCTAACGGGCCGTATAGAAATTATATAACATTAGCATTACCAGCTGCAACATCAATAGTTTAAAGCCATTAATAAAATGTGTATCATTCTGTACTGGTCCATTTCTGCATAATGAGTACTTTTACTTTTAGTACCTTACATTTGAATGCAAGACTTTTACTTGTAACAGAGTCTTTCAACACTGAGGTATCTCTTAAAGTTCTGAATACAACTTCCACCCCTGCGCCACAGCTGTTAATACAAAATATTATCAACAAATATATTATGATGTATTATTATCAGAGGTGAAAGAAGTATTCAAATCCTTTACTTAAGTAAAAGGTGCAATACCAGACCTAATGAAAATACTCTATCACATCTTCCACCACTGCTTTTAATACAAATATAATGAAATTATAATGTATTACTATCAGAGGTGAAAGAAGTATTCAAATCCTTTACTTAAGCAAAAGGTGCAATACCAGACCTAATGAAATACAAGTAAAACATTCAGTACAAGTAATATTACCATGTACTTAAAGTATCAAAGTACTCATAACACTGTTTGCTTGTTTTCTGACAGCTTGTCAACAATAAATGTGATGTAAATATTGAATCAGGGTGATACTGATCAGGCCTGCCGGACCTTCCTGTGCTTCTTCTCCTTCTCCAGCCGGTCCAGCCGCTCCAGCCGCAGCTTGTCCAGCTCCAGCCGCAGCTCCTCGGTCTCCGGGCTGATGCTGTTGCGGCTCACCATCACCTCCAGGATCTCCAGCACCCGGACCACTTTGGGCATCAGCCGGGACAGCGCCTCGCAGCCGTACTGGTCTATGATCCGCTCGAACTCCTGGCCCACCACCGCGGCGATGTCGTACACGTCCATCACCGTGAGGTCGGCCACATTCTTCTCCAGGGCCGAGCCGGAGTCCTCCATGTCGGGATGTGTCGGGATGTGTCGGCCCTGCCCGGTTTCCTATTATGTTTCCTCCGCCGCGGCAAACTTCCTTCCCCTGGTGGAACAATTCTGCTAAGTTAGCTAAACTCTGCCGGTTTATCTTAAAAACATGAACTCAGACACACCGTAAAACACCATAAAACAGCCGAACTACCGCGTATCCATCACCGACGGCTGAGTCCGGGCGGTAAGTTGATTTATTTGGGATAAATATCGCCGTCCTGCCTGTGGGCCACTGGACACCGTTGTCAAGCGCGCCATCTTGAAACGTACAACTTCCGGCTAGACGTTTCAAAATAAAACTAATGTTGATTAATGCGTTGTAACAATTTGAAAATAACAAAGTACATATACTGAAGTTTTTTTTATTTTAACAGGAAGTCTCATTGAGATAGAAAAATATCTTTTACAAGAAAGACCTTGCCAAGGTAGGAGCCATACACAACATTTTAAAATGCTACATACAATCATGAGAAAATCCACAAAAAAAAAACATCTATTCAAACATGATGGCCTCTCAAGAAAAACAACATGTCTCTTTCACCACATTCTTTATGATGCCTATATCAATTGATAACTTGATAGTTCCTAGTTTAAGATCTTTTTGCAAATTATTCCATGCCCAAGGTGCATAGTATGAAAATGCAGTTTTCCCCAGATCTGTCAAAACCCTGGGTACATTAAAAAACAACCACTTGGAGGAGCAGAGCTGGTAACTAGCAGTACTGTATGTATGCACAATTTTGAGGTGCTCGTACTTCACTACATTTCAGATTTTTCATCTTTAGTTACTTTGCCGATTCAGTTTATTAAAGCAAAATATAAATAAACTAATATAATACTAACAACTATTATCCTAAATTCGGATATATTTATATACTTTATCAAAGTAATATAACCTATCACATACATAAATACATTTAATTACTTTTCTACATTTCTAATGAATGTTTTCAACTGTTAACCATTTTCCAAAAACAGCTTGAGAGGCAGTTTATCTGGCAGACTGGTGGCGCTGCAAATTTAAACATGAGAACCGATCAGAAGCATCAGAGAAGCATCAAACTTTATTAAACAGTTGTGACTGGAAATGGCAAAGGAAGACATTGTGCACATGAAAAACATGCAAAGCAACAAAATGAATATTATTCAAAATATAGCCTTTTTACAGAAAATATTCAGATGTAACCACCAATGTAATCATGAACATTTTCAAATGTAACAGTAATTTAATTTCACATTTTTAGCAAAGAAGTTGTTTCCTGTTCAGAATTTCACTTTTTTTTTTTTACCAGTAACTGTAACAGATTACAGTACATTTATTTTGTAATTAGATTACGTATCTAAATTACATGTAACTAGTTACTCCCAGACACTGACCATATGTAACACAATGTAGAACCATTTGTTTCTTAAACTTTCTCTATATTAGAACATATAAAAAGCAAAAATTCTATCAAATGGGGATCAGTGGCTTATTTTTTCCTTTATGTGAAAACATTTGAGAACCACTGGATTAATAACCAGCAGTATATGAAATAGTTAAAACACCTCCATTTTTACCGACAACAAAGTGATGAACACTGCATCAACATATGTAGATTATTCTGAAATGGGCCACTCTGCTTAATAAGTATTTTTACTAATGAGTACTTTAAGGTAATTTTGCTGCTAATGCATTTATACTTAGGCCTATACATTTCTGAATGAACAACGTATTTGTAACGGAGTAGATCTACACTGTTGTGTTGGTACTTTTAAAAGATCTGGGTACTTTTCCCACCACATAATTTTATTCCTTTTTGAAAGAACTGTGCTGTCCAGGGTCCAGAATCTGTGTGTACACTAAACCACAGTATGGATACAATCATAAATTAATTAATCTTATTGTTTTTATGGATGTTATTGAGAATACAAATGTAGTTGTCATGTATACTGATTAATTGCACTGATAATGATTACTCATACTGTTTTATGTCTGGAGACAGTATCCAGGCGCGTTGTATCGTGCTTTTATTTTGGCATTTAATTCCGGTATTGCGGTGTCTTCCCTTCTTCTAACTTGATGCAGCTCCACTTCGGTCCCCACGGGAGTCAACAGTAGCTACTTCCATGGTGGTGAGATTGCAGTTTGTAATGCGCATGACAGAAATAACAGACAGATGAGGTCGCTGTGAGAATAAATAACAGCATGAAGAGACGTTCACGGGTCAGGAGGACTGACACCTCCAAACACTTAACACTGTTCATCCACACTCAGCTCTAAGTGTCATTTACGCTACCACCTTTTAAAAAGGCTGCTTTTGTCCACATCACTTTTTGAAAGCATTTGTTAATAATGTTCTGAAAAATAGCTTTTAACAAGAAACGTTAAATAACAAATGACAAACACTTTGAGATTTGCACAATAAGAAAACATGAAATGCATTGTATATATATATATATATATATATAGAAGAAATAAATGTGGATTGTCCAAAAAAGTTATTTCAGATAAAGAAACAAGCTACTAATTACTGCATTATATTCTGTTATATTCAGATATTTTGAATTGTTTTCCTTTATTTAAATAAAGACATGATGAACAGCTGACTTCTGACTCACAGTGTCAGGAACAATTCCTGTATAATAACCTAGTAACTCTAATAATCCACCTGTTTACTGTTTACTACTTATTTATTCATCATTCTGTAACTGTTCATATTGTATACTCTTTATATATCATATCCACCTACCTCACGTACATAACACCTGCACAAAATACTTTATTCCAGCATCCTTTGCACTCCATTGCACTATTGTCTCAGTCTGTGTGCAATGTGGTTGTTTTGTTTTTTTGGTTTATGGTGTGATGTTTACACATACCTGGCAAATAAAGCTCATCCTGATTGTGTCCATTTGTTTGTGTTACGTTTTTTACACTGTGATATTGCTACTTTTACAGAACAATCACTGAAACACACTGATATTTTCAGATTTTATGGTATTTAATAAATCAATTCGGTAAACAACAGGAATCAGTACCATAATATAGGCTTCAGTATGATTACAAAATAAGTTTGAAAATATTCCATCGACCTTTACTTTGCACATTTAACTGAAATAAAACAAACATTTTTGTGCATCACCTGTGCTGCGTTTAACCTCCTGTAACCTTTTTACAGAGATAAAATTAGATTAAAATCAGTGTTTTTAATACGTTAAAAAGTACATTTATACTTCCAGTAAAATCTCAGTCAAGCATCAAGATTCCCCTGTTCCAGTTTCACCTCGCTTGAACTGTAAAAGAAAAAACAAATAGACTTTATATATACACACACATATATACATCAGCTACTCAAATTATCCTCTTATTATTATTATTATTATGATAAAAATCCAGCTCTAGTAGATGGGTTTCAGCACGTACCGCGTTCTTCAGCAAGTTTCCAGACTTGGTAAAGATGTTTGATCTCCTTGAGGCTGGTTTGGTGGTCTCGGTGTTGTTCTGCAGGGTCTTCTGGGGCAGAGATGGGGACTGAGGCCCGGAGAGGCTGGATGTGTGTGATGAGGGTTGTGACGGTGAGTAAGACTGAGGATTTAAGTAACTTTGCGTCACGTTTGGTGTGTAGGGCTGAGCTGGGACGTAAGGCAGCGAGGGTGTGAAGGTTGTAGTAGGGGTGTAGGTTTGAGGAGGGGTGTAGGTTGTAGTAGGGGTGTAGGTTTGAGGAGGGGTGTAGGTTGTAGTAGGGGTGTAGGTTTGAGGAGGCGTGTAGGTTGTAGTAGGAGTGTAGGTTTGAGTTGACATGTAGGTCTGCAGAGCGGTGAAGCTCTGTGGAGGGGTATAGGTCTGTGGAGGTGGATGGGATTGGGCCTGCGAGTAGGTGTTTGTTGGTGTGTGAGACAGAGGCAGCGTTCGAGCCGGTGCAAAGGGATTGGTCTGTGACAAGGGCTGAGGCTCTGGCGTTGAGTCCAGCAGAGTAGGCGGTGGCGGTGGCGGGAAGCTATCGTCTCCGTTCTCTGCGTCATCGGCGGCGTCCCCGAGCTCGTAGTGCCTCTTCCTCAGCTCCCCCAGACGGACTCGCTCCTGCTCCAGCTGGCTCTCCAGCTGCAGCACCTTCACCTGAGAGATCCAGGGAGCACAACGTCATACAACAACACGCGATCGACAGAAACTAAACAAAACAAGATGATGAATGTTGAGACATGTTGGCCTCACCTGAGCTTCCATTTCCTCTGTCTTCAGCTTGATCAGAGACATGCCAGAGAAGTCCATCACACCTGTAAAGACACCAGAGTTAAAGCTGATCTATAAATGGTAATGTTGCTCGCTCCACCATTTTCTACCAGACGGAAATATCTCAACAACTGAATTTGTGAAAAGGCATCCGTTTGTTAACATGTTATACAATTTATGTGATAACATCTCAATGTTGTGTTCACAGCTTGTTCCGCTGCCTCTAAGTGGCCAAAAAACCAAACAGATTTAATGATACCGACCTTGATCAGAGATCTTCTGCTGCCCATGTTTGGTGGAGGTGACAACAACAGCAGCCATGTCGTTAACATGCCGTGAGGCCTGCTTCAGCGTGTACAGCTTCTTATTGTTGCGGTCGGCCTTCACCTGAAGTTAATGTAAATCACAGCAGCACTTGTAAGAATTTACAAGAAACATTGGGTAACCAAAGGTAACCCGTGGAGTTTACACTGTGTATATTCTAAAAAGGATTGGCTATCAAACAATATAAATATAACACTTTATTTAACCAAACCTTTAGTGTTACACAGATTTTAAGATTTCTATCCTCCTCAGCACAAAACAATCAAAGTGAATGGAAATTAGTTTGTGGCTCTGAAAATAATTCACAATGACCCCGTCACTCTGGGTCATCTACACAACTCAGTGGGATCTGTATCACTAAATAGTTCCAATGACAGCGTATTCAGTCAGTTTTCACTACTTTATATACAGTTTGATATTTTAGTCAAGTGGTTCTCAACCTATGGGCAGACTCCCGCCAAATGGTCACAAATAAATCTGAGGGGTCGTAAGTGGTTTAAATGTAAAGGTAGGAGAGAAGAAAAAACACAAGTTGTGATGAATGCATTTGTTGGCTTTTCTTTACTTTGTGACATACTGGATAATTTTACCGCTTTGAGACTTGACATGGAATCTTAAAGTTTATAAGGGAAATGGTGGAACTGAAAACAATCATAAACACTGAAACGTGACAAGGGGCCCTAACAAGACAGCTTTTTTATTGTAGGGGGTCATCTGACATGTAAAATCTGAAGAGTAACCTGTAACCAACTCTCAAATAAATGCAATGGAGTAAAAAGCACTACGTTCCTCTGAAATGTGACAGTGTAGAAGTACAAAGTCCCAAACAATGAAATACTTGTCCTATATTTGAGTAAATGTACTTGGTTATTATCTCCCACTGCTTGATTGTGCATAATATCACTCTC